GAGAGCAATGGAAAGAGAGAGAGAGATGTGGAGAGAGGAAGTCCAACACTGTGAAAATTTGAGAGTCCATACACACATAAAGCTATATATCATTGTAAACATGTACATCAGAAGAGTTATAGAAAGTTGATTAGGAGGGTAACCATTAACTATTACACAGTGGATACCTGTAGGAAGGGAGGAGTGGAATGGAACTGAAGCAAGGGATATAGAATATGACTACAAAAAATAAAACAGGCTTTTCATAGACTAGTTCCATCAGTTGAACTTTATCTGTGGAGCATGATTAATTGTGTCAACCTAATTCTGTGGTCGTAAGATCCAGGACAAAGAAGGCTGGGATGGTTTGGGGAATGAATGTGTGAGTTACTCAGACTGTTGGGCATGGTTATTAATATTTAGAGTTGCAGAAATGTGAATCACTATGCTTATGATGGAGTTTAATTATTTTACCCTCCTCTGTGATAAGCCTTATTCTTTTCAGTACAATTGGAGGCCTGATAAGAATGTTGGTATAGTTTAAGCTTAGTGAATATAGCAGGTGTTCTTTGGACAATTTAGGGATATTATGAGTCTTGCAAAATTGATTGTCTTTGTACATATATTTTTTTTTGATCTACAATGCAAAATTAGTATATTTGACTTTTAGAGAGCCAGTGGGGGACATGTCCTCTTGGTAGTAAAATCCATCATTCTCTAGTTTTCTGTTATTATCTTTGGAAGCAGAGTGGGAGAAAGGATTTCCTTCCCCTTGCTCTAATGCAGCCTCAGCCAGTGATGCTGTCTGCTTTGGAATGAAGTGTCCTGGCCCAATTCCATAAGTCTTACATGGGAACAAGACACTAGAGGTTTCTATTTTTTACTTATTGTTGTTCTTTTGCTTTTAGTTCAGTATTCTGTCCTTTCACCATCCCGTGTCTGATTCTCTAAATAGATCCTTTATTAGTATGTGTTAATGTACTCTTCTTTTTTCTTTATTTAGCATTTGTTACAACTTTGGAAGCAGAGCTTAAGCTCTTCCATTTTGGAATATGTTTCCTTATTACCTAATTATAAATTACCATCGTGGATGGGGTAGATGACTTCCCTTGGTGAAATGGATTCAATTTGCTAAATAAAAATGCGTAGACTTAATGATTCTTCATCCATTTTGACATCAGATAGGCAATTTGTTTGCTCTCTCTCACAGCAGCCTTCTAAGACTCAATGGCATTTTGCTTTGGAAAAGTAAAATTCCACAAAAAGGGAAGTATCTTCCACATAATAACAATAATCAGTGATTATTTAACACTGTGCATAGCACTCCATTAGATTCTGTGACTAATTAAAAAAACGATTTTATTTATTTATTCATGAGAGACACACAGAGAGAGAGAGAGGCAAAGACACAGGCAGAGGGAGAGGCAGGCTCCCTGTGAGAAGCCTGATGCAAGACTCGATCCCAGGACCCCAGGATCATGACCTGAGCCGAAGGCAGACACTCAACCACTGAGCCACCCAGGTGTCCCTGTGGCTAATTTTTATAAGCAGTTCTTCATAGCAACGTTGTAGGTCTCATTTCACAACATGGGAAAAACAGAATAAAAGTGATCAACATAGACATCAGCAAGCAAAGTAGACCTTGAATTTGAACCTGGTTTTCTCATGTTTCTGCTTGTTCTTTTCATTTCTCACCTTCTCTTCCTATTCCTAATGGGCACTTGTTTTGCAAAGTACTATCCTTGGCTGCCTTATCTTCCTCTTCTCTGAACCTTGGAAGAACTCATTTAGTCTCATGGTTTAGGGCATAACATGGATGCATAGTTACCATATCTCTTTTTCTAAGCTTACTATTTCTCCTGAGCTTCAAGATTCTGCATTTCAGGTGCCCATTTGATATTACCCATTTTTGCACATGCCACTTAGACCTCAGACTCATCCTACCTAATATGTGTCGGAGTCAGAACTTTCTCATTGGTGTGAATATTATCTGTTATGAGCCCACTGCAGTAGTTTAGGGAATTAGTAAGTAGCTTTCAATATGAAATGAAATATATAAAAAACCCACAGAAAATAAAATATATAAAAAGTGTATTGAAAATTCAAATAGAACATAAAATGTATGGAGGAACATAAAATGTATTTTTGCTAAAAGTAAAAAGGATTATTTTAAATAGTATCTATTCACTAGTTATTCAGTGTCCCCCTGCTGCATGCATTGTTGCTGAAAAAATTTTTTTAGCCACAAATAGAATTGCGGCTAACAAGGCCTTTAGATGTAGGTTCCTAAGGCACTCAGGGAAACCAAAAATTGCTGATTGAAACATATTTCAGGAGAGCCTGTGTCAGGAACCAAACTCACAGTTGGAAAGTAAAGTGGTTAGATGAAATTAGGTAGTTAGATGAAAACACAAGTGTCCGTTATCTGTATATTCTAAAATTGGATGTTTTTAGATTTTTTTTTGGATTGGCAAAAATGACAAGTAAATTACTTGCAAAACTGACTTTTCAGTTTTCTTATGGAGGCATAGCTTATAAGTTAATTTGAGAAGTAATTCTAGGGATCCCTGGGTGGTGCAGCGGGGCGCGATCCTGGAGATCTAGGATCGAATCCCACATCAGGCTCCCAGTGCATGGAGCCTGCTTCTCCCTCTGCCTATGTCTCTGCCTCTCTCTCTCTGTGTGTGTAACTATCATAAATAAATAAAAATTAAAAAAAGAGAAGTAATTCTAAGTATCTCTTTTATATTATAGGGAATGTATCAGTTCAGAAAATTAAAGATACAAAATTTCCTGGAAGAACCCAGAGCAGTTGAAGAGATGTTATACTTTATTTCCAAGTATAAAAGATGATTTTTACATGGCTACCATTAGTTATTATATGAGGAAAGAAACCGCCCCATTCAGTTACTAAAAATGATTTTATAGAGTAAGGAACTCAGCAGTTGCTTTCATTATCAGAAACAGAATTTTCTTTTAAAGGAAAAGAAACTATAATTTCCTATTTTGAATGACAATTGAGGAAGAGAATGATTATTTCTTTTTTCTTTGTAAAATTTAATACTTGGGCATAAAGCGTGTATCATTAGTGATAATTCCAGGAGCATGAAAAGAGAGATCACTCTTTGAGCCTTTAGATCTGTTTTATTTTTACCAAGTTAACTTAGTAAACTTAATGTTTGTGACAATAGCTTAAGAGAAGCATAGAAAATTTTTATCTTCAGTCAAGATAAATTTGTGGTAGTTAATGATTTTGGCTATTTAGATTATAAACTCTTTATTTTTAGAGTAAATCAGGCAAATCAATGTTCATGCTATTCCAAATTGAATTTGTAAAATAAGAATTTGTAGCTTGTATGAAGACATTGTTAGTCGTAACATTGTATGCTCATGAGAAATATAATAATGTTGTGATAACAGGAACCCTGTCTTCTAAAGTTAGCCTGTGGCTCCTAATATATAATGGACAAATAGCAAATACCAAACAAAGCATTTAGAAAATATTAAACAGTTTACAACTGTATATGTAAATTTGAAGAGAAATTATTTTGTATTATAGTGTAGTTTTATTTTCTTCGGCATTTGTTTTAGATTTTCTAAAGGGACTTGGAATCTTTATGTAAAACTTTGTTTCTTTGCTTGCTTCCTCCCTCCCCCCCCAAAAAAAATCTAGGATTGTGGAAGTCATTTTGATCATTGAACCAAATTCTGCTACTTCTTAGCCTTTCTTTCACTACCATTTGGATGGTAGTGAGCTGGGAGAGGAAGAAATAATGGTAGACTCTGTCAGAGATGAGAAGTACTAAACATTAACATGGGCTATGTGAAAATCAAACATACATGAAAGAATAAAATGGGATATTTCTAAACACATTTAATAAGGAAAGTTGAGATGGTGTGTCCCAGTTTGTAGTTCAAGTATAAAAATAAATGTCATTGGAGGCAATATTGTGGACTTTCTGAATCAAGTGATACCCTCTGCTGGCTAAGTTAGGGATTGCGTTTAAAAATGAGTAGCCCCCCCCCCCTTTTTTTTCCTAATAGGAATGATTGCTATAAAGAAGGATTGAGCAATACAGAGTATTGTGAAATAATATAGGAAAAATTATGTATGTGAAGAGTGAAGCCAGTGTATCACTTAAATAAATATTTTCTGAAGCGAAACTAATGGAAATAGCCATTATTGAAATTTCCTAATTTTTTGATCTACTTTTTTTTTTTTTTTAAGATTTTATTTATTTGAGAGAGAGAGTGTGAGCCAGTGCGAGAACAGGTGCAGGGGGAGGGGCAGAAGAAGAGGGAGAGAGAAACAGATTCCCTGCTGAGCAAGAGTGCAGGGCAGGGATGGATCCCAGAAGCCTGGGATCATGACTTGAGCCAAAGGCAGTCACTTAACTGACTGAGCCACCCAGGTGCCCCTTTTGATCTATTTTTTAACCACAGAAGTAGACCATAAGAAAGGAACACAGCAGGGGGCAAACTACTGGGCTTTCCTACCCCTATTTCTGGTAGTAACTCTGACATTTAATTTACTTTCATCAGTTAAATTACTTCTCAAGAGTGATTGGCAAAAATATGAATCAGAACTACTTTTCTCCAGGTACCCTGACTTAATTTCTGTTTAAAATAATTGAAATATTCTTAAGTCATTTAGAAGTTTGATAAGTTCCGGGAGGTATCATATAGCGTGTCTGTTTCACATTTTTTCTTTCAAATAAAATTTTTAAAGCTACTTTGGAATTTACAATATTTTGGGAACGTAATGCACACAAAAGTTATGTTTAAAAGCTTATACTGGACAATATATCATTATTTCATTGCAGATTTGAAAAATATAATTTTAAGTCTGATTCTGCTGTTTGATGTCGGTCTTCATTAGTGTATTGCTTTAAGAGCACCCATCCCCCCTTTCTGCTTGAGCCACTGTGTCCTGTCAGTCATCCTGAAATACACTAGGGTGCTTGTCAGGCTGTTTGCTTACAGATGCATCATAAGCCAAATTGTGAGCTGTAATAGTGGCACTGAATTTCTAAGTACAAGAAATTGCTTAGACAATTGACTTAGTATCTGTGTATGGGCAATACTCTGTCCTGCATTAGGTGAGTGAAGTGTCAAACTTTTTAAGATCAAATTTTGCTGTGTAAGGCAAATCCTATAATTATAGATTATCTGTTGCTTGGTTAGATAACTTTGGGGGAAATAAAAGGACATTATTTCTATAAAATGGAATGAATAGTAGCTACTCGGCTATGCATTTATTGCTTTTATAACTAATTTTTCTCATAATAACACTAAACTCTAAACTACTTTATGAAAGCTCCAATTTTATAAATGCCTACTTTTTCAAATAGATTAGGAGGCATTGCAGATTTAGATAAAAATATGATTCTTTTAGACGTTTTTTCTTTCACAACAACTCAGGCGGACTCAATTGAGCAGAGGCTCAGTTCTGCTATTTGGAGTGTTTATTAGTGATTTTAAAAATAGTGCTAAAATGAATGCTCATGTGCCAATGCCCAAAATATAGTAGTGTTACATCAGAACATTTAAAAATTCTTGCTGTGTAACTGAGCTATTACTATTTGAGAAACCATATATGCAAGGAACTGGAAGCTTTACATTCTTTACACATTAAAGTTGTGTAGCAAGCAGTTTCTTTATTTGTGGAAACAATTTAATTTCTGTCATGGGCCTCTAAACTTAACTTGCGCATGGATGTTTTTCCTGTATTTTTTGTATGTAGCCTTTAATATCTTCAAACAACATTGATAAAAGCAAAAAGGAAGGAACTTGGATTTTGATAGTTCCATGTTCAACATGGTAGAGAGTAGTTGAGAGGCAGCAAGGAGTTAAGTTTTAAGGCTTTATCTAATGTAAACAAGAAAAGATTGCTTTTGCAGATACATGGAATGATGATTTATTTATTCCTTCTTCTAGAAAGGATTTAAGGTGACTTACAAGGCTATATGAAACTCAAGATAGCACAAATTAAAAGTGGAGTGAAAGAAGAAAGGAAAACAAGCATAAGAATGTAAAACAGAGTCAAGAATAAGGCAAAAAACACAGTAGTTTTGACTATGGTTTTATGACACTTGTGTATTACAGATTGATTGGAGAGAAAATTCAGGGTTACGGAAATCTTATGCGGGTATTTCATGCAAACCAGCTGTCTTCCTTACTGCAGGTGGCAGTTCAGAGTGAGCAGAGTATGTTGGACAGTGAATATTAAATACGCTTTAAATGTCACTGTGTTTTGGTGGGAAAATAGTGGAGAACTGCTGCCCTTTTAACCCACACACTGATTTATGTGGGCATAAGTATGGCTCCAAATTTCTAGGAGCAGAAAAAGATTCGGTCTGTCACTCAATTCAGGAGAAAGATTCAAGAGGCTTATTTGGTTTTTAGAAACACCAAGAATTTATCTAAATAAGGTAAAATATTTACATATTAAAACAGACATGATCAAGCCAATGTTTAAAGTAAAATATATTGGCAATTTTGTGTGAGTCTATGAATCTTGTCCTAGTATTTTTTTTAAATAAAATATATTGTTTTAAATGAGATTAGCTACTTTCATTCCTTTCACTCTTTCAATTTAGTGATGAATTTAACCTGAATTTCAACTTAGGTCAAAATTAACTGAATCAATCCAACTGGGAAATAAGTTTTTGATTAGGAGGAAGAAGTTCAGAGACAGAACTTCTTAATGTTCTTTGATCTTTAAATACTCAAAATACAAAATACAACTCAAAATACAAATACTCAAAATATAGTTGGAGGCTCTGGGCTCCGTACTGCACACCATACTAAACCCAGCTTGTATAAATGAACAAGCTTGCAAAATCATTGCTATTACCTAGCAGTACTGAAAAAGAACATAAATGTAGTAGTTAAAATTTTGCTAAGTATCTTTACTGATATCTTCATAAATTAACATGTTGAGTCAGGGACAATCATTTTGCTCTTTTTTAAAAAAAATTCTGTTGTTAAAAAATAAGGTAAATAAATGATATTTTTTTAAGGCATAGTGAAAAAACAAAGAAAATACTCAAAGCTTTTGTTTTTGTAGTTTTGTACTATAAATGTATATGCTAGTTTGAGGTAGTTATTTCAAGAAAAAATTATAAATCGTACACATACCACATCTGGTACACAGGATGACATTGAGGACAAATGGACAATAAACAGGCTTGCAGGCTATGAAGCAAATATTATTACGAAGTTAAAGAGGGTCAGGGCATCTCGATGGCTCAGTTAGTCAAGTGGCCAACTCTTGGTTTTGGCTTAGGTCTCAGTGTTGTGAGATTGAGCCTTGCGTCAGGCTCCAAGCTCAGCATGTAGTCTACTTGAGATTCTCTCTCCCTCTCCCTCTGCCTCTTCTGCTTCTCTCTCTCTCTCAAATAAATAAATAAAAAGTGTTAAAAAGAAAAGAAGTTAAAGAGGTTAGGCATTAAATAAACTGAGTAATGTACCAGAGAAGTTGAGAATGTCCTGTAAGTATAATCATGTAACTTATTTTGTCTGATTCGTTCACTTAGCATAATGCCTTTGAGAGATATACATGTTGTTGCCTTTATCAGTAGTTTGCTTTTTCCTTGCATGCAATGTGATGGTATGATTGCATTACAAAGTTGTTTTTTCATTTGTTGATGGAAATTTGAGGTTTCAAGTTTTTGACTATTATGAATAAGGCTATCATGAATATTTGTGAATAGATCTCTAAGTGGGCATATGCTTTCATTTTTCTTGGGGAAATATCTAAATAATGTAATTGCTAGATCATAGAGTGGGTATATGTTTAACTTTGTAGGAAACTAACACTTTTTGTTTTCACTAGCAATGTGTGGGATTTCAAGTTGCTTCTCATCTTTACTAGCTTGGGTATTGATAGTCTTTTTAATTTAATCCAATTTAAAAAAGATTTTATTTATTTATTTGAGAGAGAGAGAGGAGAACACAAGTGGGTGAAGGGGCAGAGGAGGAAGGAGAAGCATACTGTCTACTGAGCAGGGAGCTTGTTGCAGGGCTGGATCCCAGGACCTGGGTAAGGACCTGAGCTGAAGGCAGATGCCCAACCGACTAAGCCACCCAGGCTCCCCTGTAGTCTTTTTAATTTTAGTCATTCTAGTAGGTGTATAGTAGTATATATTGTGGCTTTAATTTGCATTTCTCTAGTGACTGATGATATTGAACATTTTTCATGTGCCTAATTACCATTTATTTATCTTCTTTGGTGAAGTGTCTTTTCATTTTTTTTTAAAGAGTTTATTTACTTATTCATGAGAGGCATACACAGCAAGGCAGAAACATAGGCAGAGGGAGAAGCAGGCTCCCTGCAGAAAGCCCGATGAGGGACTCAATCCCAGGACCGTGGGATCATGTCCAGCGCCAAAGGCAGACACTCAACCACTGAGCCACCCAGGCGCCCATGAAGTGTCTTTTCATTTTTTTTTAATAAATTAATTTTTTATTGGTGTTCAATTTACCAACATACAGAATAACACCCAGTGCTCATCCCGTCAAGTGTCCCTCTCAGTGCCCGTCACCCATTCACCCCCACGCCGGCCCTCTTCCCCTTCCACCACCCCTAGTTCGTTTCCCAGAGTTAGGAGTCTTTATGTTCTGTCTCCCTTTCTGATATTTCCCACACATTTCTTCTCCCTTCCCTTATATTCCCTTTCACTATTATTTATATTCCCCAAATGAATGAGAACATACACTGTTTGTCCTTCTCCGATTGACTTACTTCACTCAGCGAAGTGTCTTTTCAAATGTTTTGTCCATTTTGAGAAATTGAGTTGTTTTTCATTTAATTATTGATTTCTAAGGATTCTTCATATTTTTTGTATATAAGACTTTTATCATATATGAGTTTTAAAAATACTGTGATCAGTCTATGGCTTACCTTTTCATTTTCCTAACACTGTCTTTTAAAGAGCAACAGTTTTAAATTTTGCTGAAGTCCAATTTATCAGTATTTTCTTTTATGGATCATGCTTTTGGTGTTGTGCTTTAGAAACCTTTGCTTAACCCAAGGTTACAAAGGTTTTCTCCTATGTTTTCTTTAAGAAGTTTGATAGCTTTGTCTTATCTTGAGCTCTATGATCTATTTCAAGTAAATTTTCATATATGGTGTAAAGAAAGGGTTGAGGTTCCTGTTTTATGTAGGATGTCCAATTATTTCAGCACCATTGTTGAAAAAACTGTCTTTCCTCCAGTGCACTATGTTGGCACCTTTGTTGAAAATAAATCGTCCATGTTAATCTTGTGTCTAATATTTGAGGATTTAAGAAAACATAATCATCATATTATTATGCCCAATAAAATTAACAGTAACTCTTTAATATTAAATAACCTGTCTGTCCAATTTTAATTGTTTAAAAATGTATTTTTATAGTAGGATTTTAGAATCAGAATTCAGGTTTGACACATTTTGTATGGTTGTTAATAACTTATATCTTTTAATTTGTAATAGCTTTCCCTCTTTTTTGTATTATCTATGAGTTGAAGAAACTAAGTCATTTTGTCTTACAGTATTTCTCATATTCTGGATTTGGGTGATTGCAGCATTTGATGTCGCTTAACACATTCCTCCTTCCAGTAAAGTGGTGGTTAGATCTGCACAAGGCTCGATTAGATTTAGTTTTTAACTCTTTTGGCAAGAATGCTGTATAGATGATGTGGTGTACTTCCTATTGTGTCATGTCAGGAAGCATGGAGTCTGGATTGTGTCATTTTTGGTGATGTTAAATTTGATCAGCATGTTTAGGCTCTGTAAGCCTGATTCTCAAAGTTTACTATTAATCCTTCATCTAATAATTTTAGCTTTTATTGATGATCATTTTCTAGATCTATTATTTTTTTAAAGGGTAGTAAATGGTGATTTTAGCATTCTGTAATTCTTCTTTAGGTTTATTGGTTGAGATTATTCTATAAAGAATTTTAGAATATTCCTCTCAAGTATAGTTCATGACAGAAAAATTAGGGAAATACTTGATTATTTCCCATTCTTTATCAATTTTCAGAGGAATAGGATGGTGTCCTATCAACTTTGAAAGGTGGCTAGTGAGTTTTTGTTTTTTTTGAGCTGATTTTTATA